AAGAAATTGAAATGAAAAAAAATAAATAAATAAATAAAGAGACTTAAAAAATCTGCTGCTATTAATGCCTGCCGCGTGGCGAGTTTACGAGTGGAAATATTTTGGCATCGTTTTGACCAACAAATGCCCACGAAATGCAGCTAATTCAAATGGGTTTCCATTTGAGTTTATTTCCTTTGATTTTTGTTTTTGTTTCCCTCTTTATTTTATTGGGAAAGTGGGTTAACCTGTCACTTGGCTGCCGACTGCCCAGGCTGACAGGCCAACCAGCCAGCCAGTCAGCCAGCTAACTTCAACTGCGATTGCGACTAACGTCTACGCATGTGCGGGAATCGCCAAAAGGCCTTGACTTAGTTGCAACTGCAACGCGGCGCACATTGCCGCGGGGCGTCGGCCACGGTCTGGTCTGGCCAAATTAAACCTAAAATGTCAGACGATTAGATAAGCGGCTGCAATTCTAAGATGAGCTCGCTGCGCTCTAGGCGATAGCCGCACAGACACACAGACCACGAAGCGGACAGCCGCAGAGTGGAGAGGCCGAGCAGCCGGTTTATATTGCTTTTTTGCTCTTCTTGTTTTTTGTTTTTTTTTTTGTGGACTCTGGTCTCTTGGCTCACACGCACTGCGGCCGACTCCTACAAACTATAAATCTGAGCAGCGCTTGTGATTAGTGGGCAACACAAAAACGTCAATGCCTGGCCAAGACACACACACACACACACACACACGCACACACACAGTAACATGCACTAGCTCGCAAATTAGGTTAAGCCAATATTTTGCTAGACATACAAGTGCCCACAATAACAACAAGAACAAATAAGAATGTGGCAGTTGGATGTAGGCGACTAGATAATACGCGCTAAAGACTCGAAGAAAATAATAAGGCAGAAGAGGGGAGAAGGAAGGCAATTTTTTGTGCTAAGACGTAAGGGAAAGAAAGCAGCTCTTAAGATTTGGTGTAGATCTTTAAGATAGGATACATATACTTATATATCTATCTATCTATCTATATATCTGTATCTAGGTATATACATAGCCATTTATTTCTATGTCTTCATATCTATCTATATATGAGACAGATCTGGAATCATTTCATCAGTGATTCGCCAACATAATTTTATCTGTCGTCTATATTTAATGTATATTTCTTGTCAGTTCTATAAGTAATATATTAAATGACTCATCAAGCTTTATAGAAAGAGTAGAAATAGAATCTGCATAACTTTGTTTAGTATATTTCGAACAGAAGAAAATTTTAAATATCTAGCTTAGTTGCCTCTCTCCTCTATCCTCCTCTCGTCTATCATAAGTTATACCTTTCTCTGACATTATTATTAGCCACCAATAAATACAAGCAAATTTCCAGTCTCTCGCAAATAAATGAGCAGACAAGGCCCTAGATAATGTTTCTATATAAATCGATATCTTGAATCAATAAAAAAAAGCTTGAATGCAAAAAACAAAATCTGCTGACTCATAAAACCCCATATACTCCTTTTCACTTTGCTGATCGGGTATAACAACCTGAACAGCCGCACCGCCCACCCGCCGCAAGTTGCCTGTTGCTCGGCTGCTTGGCTGCTAGCTGCCAGTACCAGTTCATCAAAGCGCAAGAATTTTGAGCGGCGCGCAAATATTTTAAACACGAAATACTTAAGCCAAACTAAAAAATAAAAAAAACATACACAAAAAAAAAAAAAGAAGGAGACCTGGCTAAAAAGTTCAAAATCATAAATTTCAAACGATATTAGGTTAGCTGCAGCAGCAGCAACAGCAGCCGGCGTGTTGATGATATGGGCAACAACAGGCAGCAGGCAGTGAGAACCTCTACCCTGCTGCCGTTTGCCCCCTTTAAGCAATCCCCCCCCTTCCAATGCGTAGCTGCGGCTAGAGACTTGAGGCTTGAGACTAGCAGCGCATGGAGCACATTTTCTTTTGTTGTGCGAATGCCGTGTGGATTTATTGATTTTGGTCAAAAGCCATGCTTAAGCGTAAATTATGTGCTGGCCAGCCGAGACAACCAGCCGGGCAGACAGCCAGCCAGTTAGATCCTTGTGGCAGGCGGCGATGAAAGCCACTGATTTGTGGCGCAGTGCAATGCGGTTGCCGCCTGCTCATAAATCCAGACAATTTCATAACCCAACAGCACATTTATCAAATCAAGCGTTTGCATCTATCTAATTAAGCCGCGGCGACAAATTTGCCAAGTGTGAAAATCACATAAGCCACAAAAATCAAAAACCAAAACCAAAAAAAAAAAAAAAAAATAAAAAAAAAAATAAAAGAGAATTGCAAATTATTATTTGACGCAATAAAATGCGGCACGGCTAACTGTGTCAGCCTGCGTTCAATCTTGGCCAGCAGCAGCCGCAGCGACAAGTGGCTTAGATATCGCATAAAGCAACGATTTAATTAGACGCTGATAATTATTGTACAACATTTGCCGACGCCGCCAACGTTTCTGGGGCAAGTGGCAAGTGCAAGTCGCAGCTGGCAACGGGGCAGCGGGCCAACAGGTACTTGCAGCATTCACATTTTGCTGTTGGCTGTTGGCCAAGTTTTCTCGCTATCTCGGTTATTTTAGATTTAGCTAATTTCCTAAATTGGTATGGCTTGATATTTGCAACGCCAGGCGCCGCATAATTTACTGAGAAAACATTATGTTTCTTTTTTTCTCATTTTTGGTAGTGGAAACAACATGAAATTCATTTGGCAACTGACACGAGCTTTGGTGTTAGCTGTATGCAAGTGCATGAAGTTAAATGATTTGCGTGCCCATGATATATGAATATTAAGACTGAGCATAGAAAGCGAAAAGCATTTAAGAACTCATTAAGAAGTCATTTGAGTGTGGAGTAAAGAAAAGGAAGAGCAAGAGAAAATTGAATAGTGAAAACTTTCACTGTGTCTGTTATGAGTTTTACTATTGATTTTACTAGACATCAGAATTGACTAGAAATCGCATCGACTAGATTGTATCTATCTGTATCTGTATCTGTATCTGTATCTGTATCTGTATCTGTATCTGTATCTGTATCTGTATCTGTATCTGTATCTGTATCTGTATCTGTATCTGTATCTGTATCTGTATCTGTATCTGTATCTGTATCTGTATCTGTATCTGTATCTGTATCTGTATCTGTATCTGTATCTGTATCTGTATCTGTATCTGTATCTGTATCTGTATCTGTATCTGTATCTGTATCTGTATCTGTATCTGTATCTGTATCTGTATCTGTATCTGTATCTGTAGCTGTAGCTGTAGCTGTAGCTGTAGCTGTATCTGTAGCTGTAGCTGTATCTGTATCTGTATCTGTATCTGTATCTGTATCTGTATCTGTATCTGTATCTGTATCTGTATCTGTATCTGTATCTGTATCTGTATCTGTATCTGTATCTGTATCTTTATCTGTATCTGTATCTGTATCTGTATCTGTATCTGTATCTGTATCTGTATGTGTATCTGTATCTGTATCTGTATCTGTATCTGTATCTGTATCTGTATCTGTATCTGTATCTGTAGCTGTATCTGTATCTCACACAGAGTTGTAGCATATCATTAACGCCTTACAGACAGAGTCATGTAAGCCTTTCAAAGATTCATGTTAGCTATATAGTATTTCTGCCTTCAAATGTTAACATTTGGCTGAGCAACTGACAAATAACATTGGCTCATTGTCCATCAACATAACATGGCTAACACAACTGCCCACATCAAGTGATAGAAAAGTTATTATGCAAATTTTGCTCTTATTAGCGAAACAATAAAAAACATAACAATTGCAATTGACTTTTGAATATTTTAGCCCACGAACTCGACGGTTTTTTTGCTGGCCCGATGGGAAATAAAGCCACAGCTGCTAAATTTCCATTCGACAATCGAACATAAAACTCGCCGTGGCTTGTGGCAAAGCATATGCTCAATTACACATAAATATAGTTATATATGCTTATTATTTATATTTATTACTTGACAATGGAGTGGTTCCGTATATATTTATAAATATCCACGTATATATACTCTATCGGAAATTTGTACAAATTTATTTGGCTACTGCTGCGGCTGCTGTGTCTGCTTCGGGTTTTTGGTCAGCAATTGATCTTACAAGCTGAACGCCATGTTAAACACCCTACACTCTTGTAATTTGTGTCCAAATGAAATAAAATTTATGAACATCGATTGCAATGTTGATTAGACGAAAGCCGACGCTGGCCGACGCCAAACATCGAAATGCCCAAATAACCAAATCTTAAGGCCCAAAAAACCAGTTCGGGCCACAGCGCGGCTGGCTTTTCAGTTTGGCTTTGGGCTTTGCGCTGCTTAGCGGCCACTTGTAATATTTTTGGGCTTCTCCTAATTGCAATTTGATGTTTCGGTTCGCTTTTCTACGAAAATATAGTTGTACACACACACACACACACACACACATGCACACATTCAATTTGTTGTGCTGCACTTAGCGGCAGCGTGTGAAAACTTAACGAACGATGCAGTCAGGCTGCAGCCTCCTGCCTCCAGCCTCTAGCCTCCTTCTCTGCTGTTGATCAGCCTCAGTTCTTCAACAAATCTGTTCATGTAGAGGTGCGAACACCCTCTCTCGCTCTCTCTCTCTCACACACGCTCTGCTTCTCTCCTTCTAACCAGTGCGTGTTCAATGTTTGGCGGCTCGGCTTTTTGCTTATGGTGCTAATTGATTGGTGCCAAAGTTGTATAAAAATTGGAACAGAACACATTTGGTTGGTAGGTGAGAGAGTTTTTGGCTACGCCTTGATTGCATTTGAGGACCGTTCTTTAAATTATGTTGTTGTATTTGCGCATTCATTAGCATGCGGTAGAGTTTGTTTGCTTGTTGTTGTTGTTGCTGCTGCTGCAGCTCTTATTATTGCTTTGCCATCGTCATGGACAGGCCCGAAAAACATTTCTATAATAAAGTTAAAATATTTAACTTGCAATCTTTGCTCGACTCGCACTGAAGCTAAAAACTTTTTGATTGCAGCGCCGGCTACAACATCAGCAGCAGCATCCCGCATCCAGCATTCGTGCCCCGAAAAGTCACGAAATCTGTGCAAGAAACCGGGGGAAAAAAAAGGAAAAAAGCGCCCAAAAAAATCCGAAAAGAAATGAGAAAAAAGTGATTGATGGAAATTGCTCAAATTGTCATGTTTATGAACGTCCGCAGGATACGAAGCCGACAGAGCGGATTGTGGCTAAAATGTGCACGCAATGCGACAGCAATTTGCAATCAACCAAGTGCAGGTTGACTACATACTGCAAGGCAGGCAGAACGAACTACAAATGCTCTACAAATATGAGAGGTGAGTTGGGGAGAGAATGATTATATATAATGAGGTATAAAGGGTGGTAAGCATAAATAAACTAAAGAAAATTATTGTTATTATCATATTAGTAAATATATAATAGAAACCATAAATTATTTTAAAAATACTGAAAACTATATTTTATTAAAAATTTTATTATTTGAATGGGCACAACTCCCTAAATAATATTTGTAAAAATCTTAGATGATAAAATCTTACATCTAAAGCATTGGAAGGGCAAATAAACTAAAAAAGCTAAAGAAAATATAGTATTAAATAAATACTAGATATGATACATTATTTAAAAAATATTGAATACTTTAATTTATACTCATTGAACTCATTGTATAATATGAAAAATGTTCGATCTGATAAAATCTTAGAGCTGATGCATGAGATGATGGAGAGAGATCAGATATGAGTTGTTTTACAGAATTTGCATCTAGTAAGGGTATTCCGTTGCTCAGTTTATCTGTGCTTCCCTTTAGATTTCTACCAATTTTCACTCACTTTGCTTGCCAGGCTGTCAGGTTCTGTTGGCCTGCATTGCGGGCACTCTCCCAGCCGAGCCACACACAGCGTCAAGGATCAGTTCAGCTTAGAGCCAAGCGTATTGCGTGCTTGTGTCAAGGTGTTGCAACAGTTATCGAAATTGTGTGCGCTGCAGCTGGAGGGCTTGAGTGAAGTTTGCGAAAATTCATTGAACAATGCAATGGCCTGACATTTGATGCGCTGTGACACTAACTGCGCCAAGTTTGTTGCCCAAGTCTTTCGTTGCAATCCAAAATAAAATGGCAAAGAAAATTTTAACCGAAGATGGAATTAAAGTTGCAACTTGGAATGCGGCAGAGCAAGTGCAATGATCTATGAGCCAGGCTTAGTAGCCAGTGGCAGTTGCTGCTGTTGCTGCCGCTGCTGCCACCAATCGCTGCAGCCAATCGCGTTTGCAAGTGTGCTAAATCGCGGCCATGCAAAACATGCTGGCCACGGCTTAATTATGCGCTAGCCGCTTTTTTTGCAGCTAGCACTTGCAGCTGCGCCAGCCGTTGCCGCCATACTTAGAAGCAGACCAAGAACTTAACCAACTGTCCGTCTGTCCGCCCGTCCGTTCGTCCAGCTGTTGGCAGCCAACCAACGCTCGCAACAGCAACAGCAGCAGCAGCAGCAGCAGCTTTAATCCAAGTAGCGGCCATTTTTATATGCGCCATCATGTTGCCTCCCATAATTTTATGCTTCATCAATGACAGCAGCAGATGTGCCGCCTGATGTCTGTGTGAGTCGTCTGCTGAGTAGCTAGACAAGAGGCCAACAGAAGCAACAGTGGCAATCAGCAAGTCTTACTCTATCTCTATGCCCCCCTCTCTCGCTCTCTCTCTCTCTCTCTCGCTCTCTGTCTCAACTGCTCTGACTGCGTCCTTTTGTGACGCATGCTTTCAACATACTTTATCCTGGCAATCTGCTGCCATTTTGACTCTGCTGCTGCTGCTGCTGCTGCTGCTGCACTTGCAACACGGCGGCAACAGACTCGAAATTGTTTTCGTGGTAATTTGCACCCGAGGCGTTTAAAATTCTTTTGCCAGCGCTAGCTAAACAGGCGCAACGTCAACTGCACAATGTTGTTGCTCATGTTGTTGTTGTAGGTTGTTGTAAGCTCCCTTCAGTCTCAGTTCTCAGCTCTCTCAGTCTCTGTCGTCGTTGCTGTTGTTCATCATCTTCATCTTTGGCTTTGACAGCTGTTTTGCTGGCTTCTCCTTTGCCCATCCGGATGTGTCGTCGTCTTTTGTTTTTTATTATTTTAGAACTTTGTTATGCAGCCCCTTGTATGTGTGCATGTGTGTATGTGCAGCATGCAGCATGCAGCCCAACATCGTGTACTTGCTGCACTCGCCATGCCTGATTATTGTTATTAGCCGGTATAGATATTCATCCAGTGCCTGCTTATTTGGCTGCAAGCGTTTTGCTAATCTTCCATCAAAATCGATCGGTGCGTTCGGATTGTTGCTGTAGTTGCTGCTGCTGCTGCTGTTGTTGTTGCTGCTGCTGCTGTTGTTGCTGCTTTTACTGACTGCCCTTATGTGTGTGGAAGACACTTAAAGAGTCACATGTGATCACATTTTGATGAAGCTTTTGTCTTTTTAGTTGCTGTATAGACTGGTTTCCCCATATATACCTATGTATGTTTGTGTGCGCGGCACACATAAAGACCTAAAAGCGCACAATCCAATGGCTGTCATAAAACCCATTAAGAAATGTTGACCAATTTACATATGTAGATTTCCAAAATGGCTGCGATAACAGTTAGGCTTTCACACACACTCACAGCTGCTGCTGCTGCTGCTGCTGGTGCAACTGCAAATATTAATGACGGAAGATTGATCTGGTCGGACAGCTGCGCTCGGTCTGATTGGCCACTTCAAATTGTTGCTGCAATTTGCGGGCTGCCGGAAGTGAGCCGCCGCCGCCCCTTTCATGCACCGCTCTGAGTGCAATTTCGCTCATCATCTTCATTTTATTATCGACATAAATATCAAACGAAAATTGTGGCATAAAATGCGATCGATACAAATCTGGTTACAAGCAGTGAGCCGTGAGCCCTGCATAGTTCACCACTTCATTCTGCACCTGAGACTGGAGCTGCCATCATCGTCGTCGTCGTCGTCGTCGTCGTCGTCATCGTCGTCTGCTTTGCCCTGTGAAGGACATTATGGAAATGATGTCCGCGGGCACTTGCTGGCCATTACTCAGTCGCAGCGCCTGGGCAACGCCCAATTGATCAATGCGTGGCGATAGGCAGCGGCTGCAGCTGCGACGCCGACGCCGACGCCGACTTTGTCCGCATCTGCAACTGCATCGGCAGCAGCAGCGCTTGCTGGCAATTTATACCCGATGCTGGCTGGAAAATTCAATTGCGTTTGCATGGCATGTGGAGTGGAGCGGGCTAAGCAGCTCAAATAGTTGGCATCTCACATGTGCCACGCCTATTTCTTACACTATCAGTCATAAAAATGGGAAATTTATGCAATTGCTGCCGCTGTTGCTGTTGCTGCCGCGACTGCAGCTGAAATGATTGCTGATCCGCATGGCGTGCAGCAAAAATATAACTGAAAACTGGCGCACACCCACCGCGTCAATGCACACCTAGCCAGCGTCAGTTAGCCAGCTATACAATATACTAGGATAGCCCCCTTCCGCCTGACACCCCTTGGTTGCCACCCACTAGGGAGGGAATGCTGTGGAATATTGACGCTGGCAGAGCACGGGACGCGCATGCGTTTTGCGCGTAAATTGCTCGGCTTTCAGCTCTCGGCTCTCAGCTCTCGACTCTCGGACTCAGACGTCAGCCGTCTGCAGCAACTCCGATTCCAGCAACGGCGTCAGCGTCAGCGTCAGCGCCGCCAACTCGATTACCGCCTAGAGCTGTCCGCCAGCGATACATATTCAATATACCACGCACTGCGTGGCTTGGTCGAGAGTATTTGCTGTCGATTGAATTGGCAAATGAAGGAATTTTGGTCGGATGAAGAAATTGATTTGTTTTTATATGTGATATAGCACGATTGAGTATAACAGTTTATGCAATTTTTTTGATTGTTAAATATTACAGAATATTTTATCATTCACTTTCTTTTATATTCAGAACAAAATATGAAGAGTTTCAAACTGCCAGCTTAAGGTTTTTTTTAAAAGATGCCTAACAATTCACGAAGTATATTTCATATTCGAGCGCTTATAATTTGTTCGAGTATTACAGTTTTAATACATTGTTTATCTTACGTTTTTTCTACAAAAGTAGATAAAATAAAATAATTTATACAATAAATTTAAATTTAAAAAAAATAATAATATTATATAGGCAGTTAAATTTTCTTTCAACCTTTTTAGTTGCATTTTATAAAGTACTCAGACGTAATTAATAATATCTACAAAAAATTGTTTTCTATTTCTCAACAGTTAGAAAGTTACCCCTTTTAATACCCCAAACCTACCCCTGATTCTATTCGTAGTCATTCGTAACTATTTTATTTTTACATAATTCATAAATAATTAATAATTAAGCAATGCCACATAAATTAGGCAAAAATGGTAGGAAAATTTGAGTTTAACAAAATTTTCCCATAGTATTCCTAGTTAGATCAGACTTTTATGCAGTTCAATAGAGCTTAGCATTAAAATAAAATCTAAATAAAAAGAACTATAGATGCCATTGATAAAATTTTAAAAGATTTTAGACTCAAGAGAAAGCCAGAAATCGAGGCACTTCAAAGGCTTCTTCTTATATATCCCAAGCAATTTAAGCCATGGATTCAAACTATTTGTTTTGATTCTTGGCAACGCCTTCCATTGTTAGAATTTGTTATGGCACATGAAGATGGAAATCTTTGGTAATGAACAATAGAGATAGCAGAAATAAATAAAATAGTCAATATCGAATCATATCAAATATTCTACTGTAATTTGCTTATCATATCAGGCGCTGCATTTTCAATGGCAACTCAGCTGAGCTTCGTTTTTACTGGGTATCTGTTTGGTCACGCTGCTCTAGTTAACTGCCTGTTATCCAAAATGTCCGCATACAAATTGATTTCATTTCGTTTGTAATGTCGCCGCCCGAGCGTGTGTGGCAATCGTAGATTGTGGTTTGCTGGATTTCGTTTCTGTTTCTAAACATTTATTTATGCCCCGTAATTGTTATACTTGGCTCGCGTATCAGATGACACGACGAGTGTTGGACCGACAACACACACACACACACACACACACACAGGCAATATGCAACAGGCATTTGCATTTGCATTCGGAATGCGCTCACGTCCGCCATGTCTAATGGCAAATAAATAAAATTGTTTCAAACGCTGACACGCAAAGCTGTTGGGCGCGAGGGGATGGCAATGCCAAGTGCCAGCCGCCGGATGGATCAGTGATGCTGCCCACACGCAGGATTTGAAGAGATGGCAAAGCGAGCCAACGACGAGCGGCTAAAATTGAATGATGCGCATGGAGACACACACAGAGGCGCGGGAACCCGATTGACAAGCTGTAGTTGTAGTTGCAGTTATTGCTGCTGCTGCTGCTGCTGCGCCTGCTCCTGCTGCTGTTGCTGTTGCTGCTATCTGTCTGTCCGTCTTTGTGTCTGTCTCGCTCTCTGCCTCATCGTCGTCATCGTCGTCATCAGTCAACCAATTTGTTTCGATGAATGACTGAATGAATTTGTTCACCCCTTGGTCATCTTGATAGGCGCGCAAGCGTTCGGACTTGGACCAACCCAAACCAACTCACTCAACTTGCAACAGCAACAACAACTACAGCAATAACAACAGCCGAGAGGCAACAACAGGTTCTTCGCTTGTCGAAACGCAACGCAGTTTGTTAAACTGCAGCAAGAACAAGCTAAAGACAACGACAAGGAGCAAGAACTGCTACGCGAGGGAGCAGGAGCAGGAGGCGAATCGAGGGAGCGAGGGCAGCAGGAGCCGCTGCCGTTGCAGGAGGCACCATGATCGAAGCGCGGCACTTTGCATAGAAGCGTTTTGGCAGCATTTTGAGATTGCGATCAGCGTTCAATCCGCGCTTTTTGGCATTGGTATTGGTAACGGGGCGCAGGCAACTGTTGCTGCTGCTGTTGTTGTTGCTGTTGCTGTTGCTGCAAGCAAACAACAAATGCCAAGCACCGAAAAAACACAAAGTAGGCTGGACGTAGCACAGCGATACATGAGTTATATAGAGAGGACACACGGCCAGAAAAGAGGAGTAGCTGTGCGATAAGAGCAGCGACATCGCAATCGCTCGTTAGTCCTACAGCTGAGGGGGGAGACACACGGGACAGCTTACTGCCGGGCCCGTCATCCGTCATGCGGCGTAGTCAAGTAGAAAGTGCTGCCGGTTGCTGCTGCTGCTGCTGCTGCTGCTGCTGCTGCTGCTGCGGCTGTTGATTTTTGCTTTTCCCTTTTTCGTGCTAAATGCCAATGTCGTTTTACCGACGGCAAAACTTAGCAGCAGCAGAAGCAGCAGCAGCTGCCGCCATTTTGCTGGTGCTCCGCCTCAGTGGCAGACCAAGACACTCATAATCACTAACACACACACACACACACACACACTCGCACACTTCGCATGTAATTGAAGTCGTTTATGGGAACAGCCGCTGCTGCAGTAGCCGCAATGCGAGGAGGGGTAAATTGGCAATGGGAACGCAGAACCGCAGACGGCAGACGGCAGCCAGTCGGCCATCATCATTGGGGCCGCCAATGAAAAGCATGTGGCAACATCATTAACTCTTCTTCTTCTTCTTTTTTGCTTTTGCTGCCACTGCTGCACGTAACCCCAGCCATTGCCACAATTTGTATTAATTTTTTCTCCTTTATTTTTTGGGTTTCTTTTTGGGAGAGCAGGAGAAAGTAATTGGCACTTGTTCACAAAATGGCGCCAGAGCCAAAAACAAAAAAAGTGGAGAGACAAAAAAGCAACCATTTTGAAGAAGAAGCCACAGCTGAAGGCATAACTGTTCTCAGCGGTGGTGCGGCTAGGTGGTTGTGGTGCCATAATGACACATGACACTTGGCCACATTATTTTGTCGTCTTCTTTCTCTCTTTTTGAATATGAATGCAGAGGCGGAGACGCAGACGTAGATGGATATGTGGCGGCTGGCCAGAGCGTAGAGCCAGCTGAGTCTCAGGCGGTGTGACGATCGCTACCAAAAAGAGTTGCCAGAGCGACGCCCGGCCCAGCCCCATGCCGAGGCGACAGCGCGTTCGGTTCTTTTCGCATAAATTCACAGCAGGGGGTGTTCCCCCTCGCCCTTCTCCCAACCGACACTCCACATCACACAAACTCATATGCGATTGAATATGAGTTGATTTTTTTTTTCTCATTCTCTCTGTTTTCCCTATGCTCTTCTCAAGTCTCAAGATTCAGTCATTTGTTGTGATGGCTTTTGGAAAAGTTTCATATGGCTTGTCCGCATTTTGTTTCATTTACGAAATGAAATGAAAAAAAAAAATATAATAATAATAATATGAGAGTTCTCATGATGTCTTAATCTGCGGCCATTAATATGCCTGATAAATAAACTGTATTAATTTATGCGCATTTTTGTATAAGCACGAAAAGAACAACAACAACAAATACCAAAGCTGAAACATAGCTCGGGCCAATTGAATTGACCATATCGAGAGTTGATTAACGCGTTGTTCGATTTTAATGCTGATGATGTTGTCTCTCGATCAACTAAAATATAGATATATACAATATATATGTATATATGTAAATTTCTCTCGCCCTCTGTCTCTAGCTGGATCGAGCGGGGCGCCGGACGCCCTTTCAATGGCTGCATTCTCAATGAAATTTGATGAGCTCTTTGGTAACCGAATACCGCAAAAACGGACACAAAACTCAAGAACAAAGACCAAAAAATACCGAGAAGTGCGCAGCTCTTGGCTGCCTTCAGTTGGCAAACATAGCGACAGGAGTTGAGACTCCAAAAAAAAACTATATTTATAAAACAGTTGCCACATAAGGATGTGGCTGAGCGGCACGTCATGTGGCGCGACTGCCGCTGCTGCCGTTGCTGCCGGTGCTGCTGTTGCAAGGTGTTGGCTTAAAGAACGAAAGCAACTAACCACAATCTGAGCCGCCACCGAATGCATTTGTCGCAACGCATCAGCCCGTTGCTGTTGCGAATTTTAAACGCTTCTGACGCTTTACAATTGGACGCACGCGGCACCAACGTGTGGCAAGTGGTGCCAGTGTGGCAACTGTGGTAAGTATTCAAATGCATTTCACTCCATTTCATTTCCAACCCATACACAATCACTTTAATTAAACGAAACTCATGTTTACTTAATGTTTTCATATATTTTCCAAAATTTTCCAAATAAATCCGCTTTATCATGTTTCAGTTGAAATTACAATTTTTCCCTCAGATATATGTATGTACATAGACCTTTGTTGTGGCTGCCACTTGACTTGCCACACACCTCGTTTTCGGGGCGGCTCGAAATGTCAGTGCAGCTGTTTAGCTGTCATCTGTTTATCTATGGATACCCTGTAGAAATTGTAGCTGTATTTACTGCCTTTAAGTGTTGTATATGATAGATCTAAGAAATTAAAGATGATCAAATGATATTAATGGATAGCATGCAATATAATTTGCAGTTCATTATCTCTTTTAGTTTAATATCATATTTGGTATTTATGTATTTACTAGTAAACCCCTTAAGATCAGGAGTTTGTATTTCATAATATTATCCCAACTCAAGACTTTTTTTTCTCTTCTGCATTTTCTGATGGATTCCAACAAAAGCTTGCTCCCAGTTCCTAAGTTTGTATAGGGTATTCACCTATCGATCACATTTCCCATATGCTTGCTTATTATTTTTTAGGGCGCTGCACTTGTGGCAGACAACGATCCGTACTTGATATACATTTTTTTTTGTTACTTGAAAAGCGTTAAATTTGAATTGATTTTGGAAGTCTTTTGAAGTCATTAGAAGATTGTCGAAGCAGTGCGAGAGCACTTGGAGCAAAAGGTATGCCACATGGCATACATATAGATTCGTATTGTCAACAGTAGCTGACGATGGGCAGTGCTGGGTCTGAGATATGTAATCAAATTTATATCGAGCTTCTTGTTGCGTGGCCTGGCAAAGCTGTCGAGTCGTAAAATGGTAACATAACTGTGAGATTGGAGAAGACTTTATGGCATTTTTGGTGGTAGCGCGCGTTCTGATTTTTTTTTTCCAGTTTTTAATGTGGCAGGGCGTAAGCTATGCCTTTTATGTGAACCGACGGCCAACGAACGACTGGGCCCATATTTTAATAGCTATATCTATATCCATATTACTATATATACGAATACACCCATACATATATGTCTTTCGTCTTTGAAACTAGCCAAAGATCCAAGTGCGTGCGCATTTTTCGACAAGTTTTACGGCCTTTTTATGACTTAATCCATACCGAAAGGCAGCAATCAATACAGCAACAACAAATACAAACTATGTCTATATGTGAAACATTGTTAGGGTGCCTCAGCGTCATAAACAATCATTTCGTAGAGTCATTCATATTTCTGTTAGCATAACAATGGCAATTCGGACACAGACACCGGACAGGTGGACAGACGGGCACACGGAGAACAACAACGACAACGACAACGACAACGACAACGACGACGACGACTCTCTCCAAATCAACGTGAAATAAAATCGTTTAAAATAAATAAACAATTTACATTTTTAATCAATTGTGGCCAAATCAAGATCTGCAGGCATGATACAGCCGGCTGCCAAGCCACGGCACTACAGCTACCCCCCTCTCGCTCTGTCTCTTTGTTTCGCTTACTGGATATGTATACCCTGTAGACAGTGTAAAGAAGTTAATAATAAAGGGTATACAAATATCTGTCAAAGATAGAAACAGGTGTAGTCAAGACTCTGGGCCTTGCTAACAAGCTCAAATATTGTTAAGTAGTAAATTAGAATCGATTTCAAAGCATACACAGATCTCAAGGAACTCAGAGACCATACAAGCTATCGATATAAAATTTTGTAGATAGATGATATATACTATTACTGTCTTATATATAAAACTGATCCGATAACAACTAACCTTTATTACGAAATAGCCTGCCATATACGGATAGATATAAATTCCTTACGACTGGAAGACTTTGTATTATTAGAATATTCTAAGAAAACTCTTTTATTGCATTTCAATTAATTTGCGAGGTATTTGCTAGTTGATCCTATAGCATAAATCCACATTCCTACTTATTTCTTACGGCTCTTGGCCAGACAATAGACCAACTGGGGAGTGTCCGCAATCGAGTAATTTGAAAAATGTGAAACGCACAAATCAAACAAATCAAATCAAATCAATTCGTAATAAAAATAAACATTAAATTATAAAGCAATTTTGCAATGGAACTTCGCATTATTAGGCGTATATACATACATACACATATACATGTATGCATATAATTTCTGCCATTCATTGGGCATGATTCAGCAGCGACATCTGGCGGCTCGATTTGCATAATCAATTTTGGTCGATCTTAGCGAGCGAGAGGGGGCGCGGGAGTTATAGTATAATATCTGAGAAGTGTTTGCCCGAAAATGTTTGGAATCAAATTTGTGCCACGTCTTCGACTCGGCTTAATTGACAATCTTGTTCGGGCGCGTAACTTTTGACACTTTTGGCTTTGTTTTTCCTCTGCTTTGTCTTATCTTAACAAATTGCCAAGTGCTTAGCAACTGACAGGCCAGGCCAGGCCAGAAAGAGAAACAGAGAGATACAGAGAGAGAAAGAGTGAGGGAGAGTGAGTGGAGCAGGCATTAACGGTCACACATGACCATAACTTTCAACTATATGCTTTTATGATTGTATATATGCCATTGTCTAGTCGGTCGGCCGGATTGCCATGAATAACATTCTTAGGCCTTTGTTTTGTATAGATGCTTGGACAGAGTCTTTTGGCTGCCATCACACTGGAGGAGGCTGGAGCTGTCTGCAGCTACATGGAAATATGAAAACATTTCCGCTTTGGGGCTGAGCTCTCGCTGCTGCCGCTGCTGCTGCTGCCATTGCCGTTGTTGTTGTTGTTGTTGCTGCTGCCAGCCAGACCCTGTCGCGTTTTCCATTTGGGCATTAATCCAATAAATAATTCAATTGTGTCACAAAAATCAAATCAATTGCGTGGGCAGCAAACGCAAAACAATATGTGGCTGGGCTTTTGCTAACAGACAACCGTAAGATACATCAAAGCAGAGCAAGTTTTACATAATCCTACAGATACCAAATAGCGATATCAACGCGAACGCTCAGTATATCTCTCTCCCTCACTCCACTTGGATCGACTAAAGTCTAGTGCGTCATCAGCCAGAGAGAGAGGACGAGGGAGAGAGAGGGAGAGAGAGAGATAGAGATGGCGGCCAAGACAATGCCCAATTGGCCCGCTGGCTGATTTAAGCCGGCTGATATGCGCCTTGGCGTGAACAATTGCCAATTGGACTGCAGTCCAATTGGAGTCAGAACAACTGCGGCGCAGGGATTGACAGACAATTTATAATCCATAATGTTTAATCAAAGCCAAATCACGTTGAACCTGCGGCCTTCGCTGCAAATGACTTCATTAGCAAAGCAGCAAAACTGAAAACAAAAACCGAAAATCGATAAACAAAAACAACGAGCAATAAATTTCGAGCAGTTTGTTGCACAAATGGCTGCAAGGCTGCGACTGCTGCTGCTGCGGCTGCGGCTGTTGTGGCATTTATGAATTCATGCTTTCAATTGCAACTAGCAACAAAGAAACTCTCAAGTGTGCTGCACCCGCGCCCAAAACCGCAAACGTTTGCACCTAATTAGATGGGGGCCAAGTCTCTAAAGAATATAAATTCAGACTTCAGACTACTCTCTATCTATCTCTTCCTCTCCCTCCCTCTCTCTCTCTCTGTCTTTGTGAGAAACTTTGCGGGCCATCAGCGCATCAATTCGACTCGTCGTTGCTGTCATCAACAACATCTCAGCTAACTGCAGCCTTAACTACAACATTTACTGTTCGTACCGCTACGCACTGGGAAGTGGGCAATCGAGCTGAGCTGAGCTGAGCTGAGTTGGACTCTGGCTGCCTCTGGCCTGGGCCAAGTTTGGTCTGTGTAATGGAACTGTCGACAGTTTGTTGTTTGCAGTTCACAGTTGTTGCTTTTGTTGTTGTGCGTTTGTTGTTGCTGTTATTGAGGTGGCCCCATTATATAGCATCCTTAGACAGTGCATTGCACTTGCAGTTAGAGATGTGCTTGCCTTAGGCTGAAAAACGGGGCACGATTCGGAATTGTTGGATATCAAATTAGAGGCAGCAAGAGTTTTTACCAGGTTGCAACTATTATTAACTGAAAACAATTTTTAAAATATTTTGCCCATTCAAATAGAGATATAGAATCAATCTAAAACAGACTTAAAATAATATTGTCATGAATTTTTTTTGGAAAAAACTCTGTAAGTTCAGAGTCTTTCAAGAACTATTATACTTCGATAGACATATTATCATGACCTTTTTTTCGCTTTGGACTTCTTATTGATCAGTGAATGTATTTTATAAAATATGTTGCTTGCCACGCTCTCCCCCTTGAACTCGTGTCTTTTCGTGTCACGCCTGGCAAACCAACTCTATATCGAGCAACTTCAACAACAGCAACATCAGCAACAACTATTGACGCGCGCGAGCCTTAAACAAGCTGCTAGTTTGTAGCAACAACTGCTAAAAGTTGCAAGTGCTTAAAACTACTCTACACCTAAAAGAGTTGAAGGACTAAGTGAAGAACTATGACATAAATGGCATAAAATATATATCTATATGTGCCAGTGTGATAAATTGATCTAAAAGAAAAGAGTTTTAGATTAGATTACACCAATCAAACTCGACTTCCTATTAGAACTCTTGCTCATAGAAACATCTAAGAGTATTGCAAAACCATCTTGAGTGGTTGAGAGATGTCTAGGCTCTCGTATTATGTTTTATTGACAACTTGTGATCATGATCAGTGCGTAATGAGTGTTCGCTTTATCTCAGGCACTTGTTGGACGCGCCAATTGAGTTGGGTTGGCAAACCCAACCTGCTACAACCTGGCCCCCCCTCCCCCACTCCTCTCCACTGCACCTCAGTTGCGGCTTGCAGCAAACTGTGAAACGGGCACTGGGCCCGCTTCAAGTGCCAAAAACGTGGCAGACGCCTGTCACAACAGGCGCTAAAACAAACAGCCCGAGAAACTGTACGAACGCTAACCAGCTAAAGGAGGCCATGATACAGTGCCAGTTAAATGCTAACCAGGAACAGCCAC